TGGAGAAATTGTACTGATCTGGTGAAAGATAAGCTACTGTGGAGGTGGTGTTCATTGTCACTGCTTCAGTGCTACATTGCAACATTGCTTCAGTAATTGTTCTGAGCTTTTAAATGAAACTGTGTCTGCACACTGCTAACTGAATTTACAATTAAAAGAAGAATATCCATGTTTCATGGTGAATTTTCAAAGTTTAACTTCCAGAAGACGATTGTTAGCATGAAATGGTAGCCGACTGTTTTTTAATATTCATTATGAATGAGTGGCTCAGCGGTTAGCACTGCTGCCTCACAGCGCCAGAAATCCGGGTTCAATTCCACCCTCAGGCGACTGTCTGTGTGGAGTTTGCACATTCTCCCCGTGTCTGCGTGGGTTTCCTCCAGGTGCTCCGGTTTCCTCCCACAGTCCAAAGATGTGCAGATAGGTGGATTTGCCATGCTAAATTGCCCATAGTGTCCAGGGATGTTTAGGTTAGGTGAGTCAGACATGGGAAATGCAGGGATAGGGGAATGGGTCTGGATGGGATGCTCTTGGGAGGGCGGTGTGGCCTTGTTGGGCTGAATGGCCTGTTCCCACACTGTAGGGATTCTATGATTCTATGATCTGAGATATAAGTTTCCTTGTTCACTTCTATTGGCTGCAGAGTCCAAAATCTTGTAATTAAATCAGACTGATCAAAAGTAATAAACCTGAATAGTTTGATCGCCATGTTTGTTTAATAAGTATTGTTTTATCATTACAATCCGTGACTTTACTACGGTCTTTCCATTCCCTTTTATTATCTCTTTTATCACATACAAAAACTCCTGAATTGAAGTTTCAGGTGCTTTTATACACATCTAATTTATTTTTCTTGAAAAAAGCCTGTCTCCATGCATGGAAAGCATTCAATATATTCATGTGCTGATTAATGCTGAGTGAAAATCTAAGTAGTATAAAAAATGGTATTATGTATGGGGTGCTATCAAACTAACTTTGAAATGACTATTCGTTATCATTTGGTTATTAAAAGGAAGGTCACAGAGGAATCAGACTTAAAGGAAAGATATAGCTTTGATGAACATGGAATCAAGCCTGCTCTACCATTCTACAAGATCATAGCAGTTCTACTCCAGGCCTCGTCTCTTCTTTCATGTCAACTCCTCATAACTCTCAATACCCCAGCATTTCGAAAATCTAGCTACTTCCTCCTTAAATACTTTCAGTGATCCAGCCTCCACAACACTCTGGGGTAGAGACTTCCAAACATTTATTATCTCCTGGGAGAAGACATTCCTTTACATCCGAGTTTTAAATGAATGTCCACATATTTTGTAACAATATATCCTATTTTAGAATTCCTGCACTAAAGGACACATTTTCACATTTTCCTGTCAAGCCAACTCTATAAGATCATTCATGTGATTCTTCTAAACTCTAATAGATAAAGGCCTAAACTGTTTAGCCATTCAGCCTTTCTGCGGAAGGGTCACCGGACCAGAAACATTAACTCTGTTTCTTCCTTCACAGATGCTGCCAGACCTGCTGGGCTTTTCCAGCAACTTTGTTTTTGTACTCTTTCTTAAATACAGGGACCAAAACTGTAAAAAGCACTTCAAGTGCAACCTCACCAACATCCTACATGGTTGTAACTGACTTCCTTATTTTTAAACTCCAACCCCAGAGCAATAAAAGCCAAAATTCCATTTGCTTTCTTAATTACTTGCTGCACCTGCAATCTAACTTCTTGCGTTGCCTGCACAAGAACACACATATCCTTCTGTGCTGCAATTTTTTTGGAGTCTGTCTCTATTTAAATAATAGTTAGGCTTTTGATTCAACCTACCAAAGTTCCTCACTACCTCACACTTTCCTACATTAGACTCCAATTGCCAAGTTTTTGCCTTATTCCTTATGTCTTCAACATAACTTGCACTTCCACCTATTTTTGTATAGTCAGCAAATTTGGATACATTTCACTCTACCCTCCTCCAAGTCATTAATATAGGTTGTAAATAATTGAGGAGTGATTCTTGCGAGACTCCACTAGTTATGGTTTTACAACCTGAAAAATACCCATTAATCTCAACTCTGTCTTCTGTGTATTCGTCAATCCTCAACCTATGCTAACACATTAGTGGTATGGTGGCTCAGTGGTTCATACTACTGTCTCACAGCACCAGGGACCCGGGTTCAATCTCAGCTTCTATGTGTAGTTTTCATGTTCTCCCTGTGTTGTGTAGGTTTTCGCCGGGTGCTCCATTTTCCTCTCACAGCCTAAAGATGTGTAGGTCAGTTGGATTAGCCATGTTAAATTGTCCCAAAGTGTCCAGGGATGTGTAGGCCAGGTGGTTAGTCGTGGTAAATGTGGGATTATGGGGATGGGTAGGTGGTGTGCTGGATGTGGATAGGATGCTCTTTGAAGGGTTGGTGCAGACATGATAGGCGAATGGCCTCTTTCCGTGCTGTAGAGATTTGAATCTAATATTGTGGGATCCTATCTCGTGCAGTAGCCTTCAATGTGGCACATTATTGAATGTGTCATCCACCAGACTTTCCTCCATGGCTGCAAACCCCAGGTGATATATTGCTGAAACCCCAAAACCTGCCATCACCTACTGAACACTGAATACACATCTTCCAAAGCTCTACTCCAACAGACTGAAAATACCAAAGAGTAAATGCTGTTCTAGAGAGGTGGTCATGGGCTCGGAAAGTCCCAACTCTTGCTTCCTACTCTTAAGTGAAGATGTAGCCCATTTACTCTGTTTAACTCTCTTCCTACTGTTGAGATCAAAGCCAGTCCACTCAAGGAGACTTTGAGGGTATCTTTGAAATGTTTCTACTGTTTATCTAGTGGGACACTTGGAGTGGAGAGCATGCTTTGAAGGATGAGCACTTAGTATTCTGAGGCAGTGGCCAGATCTTCCCTGGACAACAGTAGTGTTATGTTTTGAGGTTTCTCAAGTGTCACCAATACGTCACCCAGGTTTTCCAGCCATAGAGGATAATCAAGTGAAGGCTGCCTTATTGGCTGCAACCTGTGACCTTCCACAGGTCTACAGACTTGGCTCAGCAACTTCTCAAAACAGGAAGTCGAGCACAGTGTAGGATCTCCAGGTCCGTGCTCAGGGAACTACTGGGACAAAAGCTACTGAGGTAGCAGAAATGATCCACTGTCTGGGGTGGGGCTGTGATGCTGGGAGGGTTTGGTGCTTCCTCTGGTTTTGGTTGGGCTGACAAGTGGCAAGTGACATTCGCACCACACAAATGCCAGGCTGTGGCCATCACCAATAAGAGACAATCTACCACCATCCCTTGACATTCAATGGTGTTACCATCACTGAATCCCGCACTATCAACATCCTGGAGGTTACCATTGACCAGAAATTCAACTGGATTCACCACATTAACACAGTGGCTACAAGAGCAGGCCAGAAGCTAGGAATACTGCGGCGAGTAACTCACCTCCTGACTCCTCAAAGCCTGATCGCCATCTACAAGGCATAAGTCAGGAGTCTGATGGAATACTCCCCACTTACCTGGATGAGTGCAGCCCCAACAACACTCAAGAAGCTTGTCACCATCCAGGACAAAGCAGCCTAAGATCAGCACTACATCCACAAGCATTCACTCCCTCCACCACCGACTCTCAGTAGCAGCAGAGTGTACTATCTACAAGATGCACTGCAGAAATTCACCAAAGATCCTCAGACAGCACCTTCCAAACCCACAGCACTTCCATCTAGAAGGACAAGGGCATCAGACACTTGGGAACACCACCACCTCCAACTTCCCCTCCAAGTCACTCACCATCCTGACTTGGAAATATATCGCTGTTCCTTCACTGTCGCTGCATCAAAATCCTGGAATTCCCTCCCTAAGAGCATTGTGGGTCAACCCACAGTAGGAGGACTGCAGTAGTTCAAGAAGGCAGCTCGTCACCACCTTCTCAAGGGCAACTAGGGATGGGCAAGAAATGCTGGCCAGCCAGCGACACCCACATCCCACAAATGAATAGAAAAAAAATATAAAACCTTTCTCTTATCACCAGTCACAACCCTCTTGTGCGAAATGTTTCTTTGGACACTTCAAGACTGCCCTTACGTCTTTGTTTTCATGTGCACCGGTTATATGCACTCCAGAGGTCATTATGGTTGTATGCAAAACTTAGGTCTTTACTTTCAGCCCCGGGAAATTGAGCAGAATTGTGCCTAGCCTGTACTCAATCAGACTACAGTGTGCTGGACAACTCCAACTATGCCAAGTCCTGCATTGTCAAGGTGGAGGTAGCTTCATTTGGTTAGATGGTTTGCAGGGATATGGGGGAAGAAGTCCAGATAGACATGGGTAATAGAACCGGTGCAAACATAATGGGACCAGATGGCTTCCTTCTGCCCCTGGGCAATTCTGTAATTCAAAGTGGATGATGGCAAAACAGGCGGTGTGAGAGCAAATAGGAAGCTCAGGAAAGCGCACAACCCCTCAACGACCAAGGACTAACAACGGGTGTGCACTTTCCCTCCTCTTAACCGCCGTTTCTTCCTTAGCCTTTCACATCTTTTTAGCGTCTTTTGTCCTGCTCGGATTGATACCCGTATCTCTTCCCTAGATCTCTTACAATCTAATTACTTCACACCAGCACACCCGTCTCCGACCATGTTTTTTTTCTCTCTTTTCCTGTCTCTTACTCCAGGGCTCGTCCTCCTGGTCTCCACGGATCGATACCTGTTTCCTCTCTCCCTCGTCCGTCCTACTCTACAGGTTTTGGACAATGTGAACAACCATCCCGGCGCTCAATGCAAACCCCTCACAGCCGTTCTGAGGAAGGGTTACCAGGCCCCAAACTCTTCAAAGATGCTGCCATACCTGCTGAGCTTTTCCAGCAACTTCTTTTTTTGTCCCTCACAGCCGCTCGCGCCTTCGTGGTGACGTCTCTGCGGAACCCACCCCCAGCTTCAGCCAATCAGCGCGGGGCTGGTGTCAATGTCAAACGGTCGGAGCGCGTGCGCGCCCGGCGGGTTTGTCGGTGCTGCTGTCATAAGCGGCGGTGCGCGGAGGCGAGGAGAGGGTGGGAGAGAAATTCCTCCTTCTCGGGCTGTGACTGGCAGGTTTGTACCGGTTGGCGTCCGGCGGGGTTAGAATGGAAAAAAATCTGGCCGGTTATGGTGGTTAGTCTCCATGTACCGGGAGGGAAGCAGACCAGCTTTGCCAGAGTCGGACGAGGGGGTGGCTTGGCTCGAATTACTGAGTGTTGTTGCCGTAGCGGGTGAGATGCGGAGAGGTCGGTAGGATACGGCACCGTATCTTTGGGAATGGATTGAGCAGTGTCTGTCAGTCCGGCTGACAGCCTGTGGCTTGGGCGGTGCCCGGAAAGCTGTGGGGCGGTGCTACTCGGGCGGGGGTCTCGAGGGAGTGGGGTGGTCTGTGGTGATGCGATCCCCCGGCGCCGGTGTTTGGATTGATATGTGTCACTGGACCGGAGTCCAGATGTGCGAAGTAGCCACTGAGCACCGAGGCCACTGGCTGGTGCGAAGTGCATACCGCACCCCTGCTGTCATTGAGCTAAAGGTGGTGGTGGGAATCGAGATGCGAAAAGGTGTTAATGCATTGTAACTAAATTGCAGAAAACGCTGCAAGTAGCTTAAATATCGGGCTACTTTTTTTCATTCATTCATTTAATATCGACTAGCTCAGTGGGCTGGACGCCTGTTGCAGAGCGATGCAAGGTGTGGGTGCAATTCCTGCCCAGGCTGAAGTTACTGTGGAGAACTCTCCACCTCGACTTCTCCCCATAACTGAGGTGTGGTGACCCTCAGGTTAAGCCACCACCAACTGTGTCTCTCTTTAATGAGAGAGCAGCCCTGTGGTCAGGTTTGACTATGGTGACTCTACTATTACTCCAGAGAAGTATTCTTGATTATGTAAAGGTTAGAAACTTACTACATGATTTTAATGGAAAAGATTTGAAACATATTTAGGTTTAATTACTTGCACTGACTATCTTTCTTCAAGTATCTATCTCCCAAATGTTCCAGTCTCTGGATTGCTTGGGACCAGAAATACAATGTGGGCTTGGGACTTCTGTAGAGTCCCAATGTGCTGAACAATGTGGGAATGACCCAGGTGGTTTCTTCTTTTGATGGGCAATTACTGTTTCCCCAGATCTTCTGAAAAGTCAGATGATTAGACAGTACTTACCTGGAAAGTTACCCAGGAAATTTAGAACTAACCTGCCCCACCATACTGCATTCTAAACTCTGACAGCCTCCCCATATGGTCCTCTGTAACCTGTTGACTACAACACAATCCCACCATTTTATCAACATATCGACTTAACCTCATCCAGCCTACGTATCCATTCATTCATCTATTTGCCCATTCACTTGCAATGAAATTGAACACTTAAGCTTACCAAAAAGCTGCAAGAACTGTGGCTGCTGGGAATCGGAAACAAAAACACAACAAATTACTGGAAAAACGGTCTAGCCTTCCTGCTCCTCTGATGCTGCTTGGCCTGCTGTGTTCATCCAGCTCTAAACCTTGTTATCTCAGGTCTGGCAGCATCTGTGGAGAGTTATCAGAGTTAATGTTTTGGATCCAGTGACCCTTCTTCAGAATTTGAAACTTTAAGTTTATCATTTGGCAGTAAGTGTTGTAAAAAGAGGTGTGCTCTATCTTCTCTGACTCAATGTCACTCTGCAATGTACACTGCTGATTCAGAATGGTCTAGAGTAAATGCAGAGTTGTGTTGAAACAATGTTTGAGCAGAGCGGCAATACAATGATAATTGCCACTCCTCAGAAGATGTAGGTCCTTCCCTCTCTGTAATCCAATCTGTACTGGGCAATTAAATACAAACTAGTGTCATTCAATATGAATAGGCATTTGAGAATTCTTTTAAGAAAATTGCCTTTCTCATTTGAGTCAATATTTCAAGCCAATGATTTCTTCTTTTATTCTGACGTAACAGGAAAACTAGACTGAATGAAGCACTTGCATTTCAGGTAGTAGCTGGATGCCAAGTGGGTAATCCATCTCTGCTTCCTACTTAAAGTCGAAGCCCCACAGATGCCTTGTCCACAAGGAGCAGGACAAATCTAACCTAGCCACTTAATGCCATCATAAAAGCAAAGTACAGTGGCTGATGGAGGTCACAAATAAACATGAACAGTGCTATCAAGTGGCATTTGCAAATGAATAACCATCTCATGCTTGTTCTGAGGGAGGGTCACCAGACCTGAAACATTAACTCTGATTTATTTTTTCTTCATAGATGCTGCTAGATCTGCTGAGCTTTTCCAGCAGCTTCTGTTTGTGTTCATGCTTGATTGATTTTGTTTCACCCATGCCCGCTAAGCTTTGGACTTGGTTGCAGCCGTGGTGCAAACATTGCTGTAAGACCTGATCTCCAGGCATGAAATGAGTTGAGTGACTGCCTTTGAGATCAAGGCAACATTTGACCAAGTATGGCATCAAGGAACTTTAGCAAAATGTGATTCAATGAAGGGGAAAGCTCTCCATTGGCACAAAGAAATTTGATTGCAGTTGTTGGAAGACAATTATCTCAATCCTAAGAAATCATTGAGAGAATTCCTCAGTACAGTATCCTATGCCCAAACATTTTATCACTGACCTTACCTACTTAATGATGTCATGATGGAGGGATGTTTGCTGATGACTTTGCAATGTTCAGTACCATTTCCAACTCGTACTGAAGAGGCTTACAATAATATAGAAAGCCTGAGAACATCCTAGCTTGGGCTGGTGAGTGGCAAGTAACGTTTGTACAATATAAATGATCTCCAAATGGAGAGAATTTAACCATCATACCTTGACATTCAGTGGTTTTACATCACTGAATCTACTGCTATCAACATTCTGGGAATTATCATTGACTAGAAACTGAACTGGACCAGTCCTAAATGTGGTCTTGAGGTGTGCTATTGCTACAAGAGAAGGTCAGAGGCCAGGAATTCTGTGACCAGTAACTCTTCACCCGGGATTCTCAAGACTCCAGTCATTGGTGGACAGTATCCCATTCCAATGTGCCCGCTAAGCAGCTGATCTGATGTTCAGTGCACAGCAATTGTCATGCCAGCGCAGATCACGGCATTGACATCTGAAAGTGGTTGTCATACACCAATCTCGAAGGCTCACACAGAAGAGGACAATATATTAAAGGGAATGCTACCCCTTCTCTTCCCTGTTTGGATGCAGTTCTAGCAACACTCCATTTAGAACAAAGCAGCTGGCTTGATTGACATCCCATCCACCACATTTCAGTATTTGCTTTCTGTACCACTGATGCCCGCTAGCAGCAGTATAAGGTACTGCTTTGATAAGGTACACTGCAGTAATTCACCAGGCCTCCTTTGACTGCATCTTCCAAACCTTCACTCTCTGCCACCGAGAAGGATGTGCCAGCAGGTGCGTAAGAACACCATTTGCAACTTCCTCTCCAGGCCACGCTCCATCCTGACTTGGAACAGTATGACTTCATTCACTCGCTGTAACTCCCTCCTGACAACACTATGGGTATCATTACTATATAATTTTTCTAATTCAGTCATGGGATATGGTGTCACTGGCTAGGCCAGCATTTATTGCCCATCCCAAGTTGTCACAGTGGGTAGCTAAGAGTCAACCATGTTTCTATGGGTCTGGAGTCACGTGTAAGTCAGACTACATAAGGATGGCAGATTCCTTCCCTAAAGGACGTAAGTGAATCAGATGGGTTTTTCCCAACAATTGACAAAAGTTTCATGGTCATCATTATTAGATGACCATTATCATTAGAGCCTTAGCTCCAGATTTTTATTGAACTCCATTTCTACAGTCTGCCATAGCAAGATTTGGTCCCAGAACATTATCTGGGTCTCTGGATTAATAGTCTAACAACTCATACCATGAGGCTATTACCTTCCCTTACACCCCAGTCTTCCGGAGTGCTGTGTCCAGTTCTGGTCACAATGTTATAGGAAGGATATTATTAAGCTGGAGAGGGTTCAGAAAAGATTGACAAGGATGTTGCAGGGAATGGAAGATCTGAGTAATAAGTAGAGGCTGGGAGAATTTTGACTGAAGCATAGGAGGTTGAGGGGATGACCTTGGAGAGGTGTAAAATCATGAGGTGAATGGCAGACCTTTTTTTTTCCCCTAGGGTGGGGATTTCAAGATTAGGGGACACGTTTTTAAGGTGAGAGGATAAAGATTTTTAAAAAGACACGAGGGGCAGTTTGTTTTGAGTGGTTTGTGTGCAGAATGAATTTCCAGAGGAAGTGGTGGATGCAATTACAGTTAGTGTTTGAGACATTTGGATAATTACATAAATGCCTGGAGGGATATGGACCAAGCACAGGCAGGTGGGACTAGTTTAGTTTGGGATTATGGTCAGCATGGACTTGTTGGACTGAAGGATCTGTTTCCGTCCTCTCTGATTCTATGACCATCTTCTTCAGTGCAGTTAAGTACAGGCAATAATTTCTGGCTTGGTTAGCGGCACCCATATCAACAATGAATTTAAAAACAAAACGGCTTGAAGAATTAACCTTTTATCTCTCTCAAGCTGAGACCTGAACTGCTGAACGTTTCCAGAATTTTTGGTTTTCATTTTACATTTCAGCCTTTGCAGTATTTTGCTTTCGTTACGTAGCAATGTTTCAAACTTGTTCAAGTTGTATGAAATATTTAATTGTATATTCTGCATGTGGTCTGTGTAGCAATCCTTGAACTTGATGACTCACTAATATAGTTTATTACCCTAATTTCTCGTTTTTCTAGGCTTGGGAAACAAAGGACAGCCTGTATATTGAAAAGTTGTATTTGTTCATCCGAGCTTTATAACCTTATAATATCTATTTATGGTCCTGTATATTTAGCAACTTAAATATTCAAAATTAATGATTGTGCTGCAGTATTTAGATGTTTTCATTATGCAATCCTTAAATCTACATCTTTGATCAAACATTCTATCATCTGTCCAGATATCTCCTTCCGTAGTTTGGTGTATCAAATGATTTTGTTGATATCACTCTGGTTAAGTATGTTGGAATGATTTAGTGAATGCTAAATATACTTTAGAAGCATCAATTTTTAATTAAGCTACACAAAACTATTATCCACTTTTAAATTGATTCCCCATGCTCATTTTATGCATAATAAAATTGAATTTGTTTTTCCTCCCTTTTTTAATAGGAAATGCATAAAAGTTGTTCTACTGTACTCTAGCCTGGTGAAATGTTGGTGCCAATACACCTTTTGTTTCCAGCACTTAGAAATGGAGAGATGAGCAAAATATATGTCACAGCCTGCCGCCATCACATCTTCCAGAGTCACCTATGTACACAAATCAGTTGGCAAGCAGCAGTCAGATCCCTGCGAAAGACTTTTCCAAGACCCTTCTTCAGATGGAGCAAGCCTGAAGACTTATTTGGTCATTTCCATTCAAGGAACTACAGGACCACAGTTGCGCAATTTTATAACCTTACTCCTCCTCAAGTTAACAGTATTCTGAAAGCAAATGAGTACAGTTTTAAAGTACCTGAATTTGATGGGAAGAATGTTAGTTCGGTTCTTGGTTTTGACTCTAACCAGTTGTCAGCTAATTCTCCAGTTGAAGATCGAAGATGTGCGGCTACCTGTCTGCAGACCAGAGGAATGCTCCTGAGTGTTATAGATGGACATGCAGGATGTGCCTGTGCACAGGCAATCAGTGAAAGGCTGTTTTACTATATTGCTGTTGCTTTGCTAAATCGGGAAACCTTACTGGAAATAGAGAATGCAGTGGAAAATGGCCGTGTTGTATTGCCACTCTTACAGTGGCATAAACATCCTATTGACTACTTCAGTAAGGAGGCTTCAAAGATGTACTTTGATAGTTTAAGAACCTACTGGCAAGAGCTAATTGATCTGCACACTGAAGAGACACCAGATATAATGGAAGCTTTGATAAATTCATTCAAAAGGCTTGACAATGATATTTCCTTAGAAGCTCAAGTGGGTAATAGCAATTCCTTTCTCAATTATTGGCAGTTGCGTGTGGCCTTTTCTGGTGCAACTGCCTGTGTTGCACACATAGATGGTTTAGATTTGCACATTGCAAATGCTGGAGACAGCAGAGCTGTGCTTGGCGTTCAGGAGGAAAATGGAACTTGGTCTGCACTCACACTGTCTAATGACCATAATGCACAGAATGAGAGGGAAGTGGAAAGAGTAAAGTCTGAACATCCAAAATCTGAGGTCAAGACTATTATCAAACAAGACCGTCTGCTTTCCTTGCTAATGCCCTTTAGAGCTTTTGGAGATGTTAAGTTCAAGTGGAGCATAGATTTGCAGAAACGGGTGCTGGAGTCTGGTCCAGAGGTGTTAAATGAGAATGACTGTACAAAATTCTTCCCACCTAACTATCTCACTCCCCCATATCTAACGGCTCAACCTGAAGTGACTTACCATAAATTAAGGCCTCAGGACAAATTTCTTGTATTAGCCACAGATGGTCTGTGGGAAATTTTACATAGAGAGGATGTTGTAAGAATAATTGGGGAGCATCTAACTGGTGTCCATCTTCAGCAACCTATTTCTGTTGGGGGTTATAAAGTGACTCTTGGTCAGATGCATGGTATATTAATGGAAAGAAGAGATCGCATTTCATCTGCATTTGAGGATCAAAATTCTGCAACTCATCTTATAAGGCATGCTGTTGGTCAAAATGAATTTGGAGCTATTGATCATGAGCGTTTGTCCAAGATGTTAAGTCTTCCTGAAGAACTTGCAAGAATGTACAGAGACGATATAACTGTTACAATAGTGCAGTTTAATTCCCATGTTATAAGTACACATTATAAGCATAATGCAGAAAACTGAAAGCTGTGGTAAATGTAGGTCAACAAAATTTTGGATACACAAGGTTTTTGAGAAAATGGTACATAATTGCCATTTTTTTTTTTTTTTTTTGTTAATGTAAGCAAATATTACAACTAGGTCACTAGTAATGACTTGATCTCTAAAAGTTGGAATTTGGCTGTCTGTCTGGCTTAAGTAAATGCGTTGGGAGAGATCTGCAATGCTTTAATATGACAATTGTAAATAAACAAGATCAAACATTTAGCTTTGTATGAAATGGAAGTTTAATTTGAGAGTCACCAGGTACAACAAAATTCATAATAAAGTAACGTTTATTTATCTATGTGTAAGTTACAAGAAGTTTTATGTGATATGATATATAGTGTAAAATTATATTGAATGCAATTGCTTTGCTGCTTAGATAACTATTCCAGAAAGTGAAAATAAAATATAACACTGGTTGTTTTTATGTTCTAATTCAGATGCTGGTCTCCTGTATCTGAATTAAAATGTAGCCACAGGTTATATCTTTATAGTTACAGTTTACAGTCTGTGCTAAAGTTTGTATTTTGTGCTGCAGGGTCTGTTAACGTTTTTTAATTCATTCATGGGATGAGGGCATCGCTGGCATTTATTGCCCAGAGGGCAGTTAAGAGTAAACCACATTACAGTGGGTCTGGAGTCAAATGTAGGCCAGACCAGGTAAGGATGGCAGCTTTCTTCCCTGAAGGACATTAGTGAACCAGATGGGTTTTTCTGACAATCGACAATGGGCTCACAGTCATCATTAGACTCTTAATTTCAGATATTTATTGAATTTAAATTCCAGCATTTACTGTTGCAGGATTCAAACCTGGGTCCCCAGAACATTATCTGGGTCTCTGGATTAATGGTCCAGCGATAATACCACTAGGCTATTGCCTCCCTCACGTTTTAAATAGTTTATTTTAAGAACTGCATTCACAGTTTAACTGTTTTGAATGAGTTCTGGCAAATGTGATTGCTGTTCCTACAGTGAAGATTGTAATACACTACTACAATCTGTTATGGAAGGCAATTGCAATTGATTGCTGTGATTGCAATTTGATGTAGTATAGGAAATGTATTGCCTTCTGTTTTCTCCCACAGGTTTTTCACTAACTCAGGAGAAGGATAAGAAAAGGATGTTTCAATTTTTTAATCTGCTGTAATTTTTCTTTTCCAAATACAGGAAAGATATAAATTATTTAACATCTGTAACATATCTGGGGGAAGAATGTTTGTTTGTTTAATCTAGCTTTTTGGTGTTTTTGAGCTATTCTATCAAATATACAAGCAAATAACAGAGCTGACAGCATACGTTTTCATACTGATCTCGGGTCACTAACAATGTACTTTTGGTGGTGGGACATGTTTTGATGGCCTGGAATAGTGTCATTCTATAGTGGTTTTTTTTTTTTTTTTTTGTTTCAGTTTTGTCAAATGGCACCACTGCAGCAAGACAAGCTGCAAACTAAAGAACTGACAATTATGAAGCATGTGTGTGAATGCCTAAATATCTTTTTAGGCCTCAATTGTTAGCGAGTCTTCTGAAAAATGCTATACTGTGAAATGATAGAAGATTGTACATTGCTCTGTATTGTATTTGTTACTTAACTAACTGTAATGTTGTGGGAAAGTCTTGACAGTTCCCATGCATTTTGTGCAATTTTCAAGCCTCTTGGCAGGTTAAGTGCTTAAATGCAGGAATCTTGAATTAAAAAGAGGTATGAATGCTTTGCATTTGCTTTATTTCAGTATTCCTTTTGATTTTTGTTTGTTAACATCTGAGAAACAAAAAGGCATTTCTGTTTTGTTTCTATTTGAAGGGATTTTCCAGAGTTTGATTCTTGTTGCATACATTGTTGTTGTGGGTGAATATGTATATGCTAAGTAAATTGGCAAACTACACAAAACATTGCTACAGCTGTGAAGAGGTCTTCTTCAATAGATTTATTCATTTTATTAAAGGAAGAATGGTATTTAGGTATGTGCTGTGGTGTGCAGTACTATCTGAAACATTGATATATTTTACAGGAAAAGAATAAGGAACTGCATTTCTTTTATAATTACGTCAATAACAAATCCGTGACGACAGCATTTTGGCAACTTTTAATTTATATAAATTTTACAATTATTCCACTCTTGAGTAACCATATTGAAAAGAGAGCTTGGTGTACATGGAGTATTGGAAAACTATTCTGGCGATCTAAGTAGCTATACCATAATGATATTGCGTTCAGTGTGATTAGCCATCAAATCATAATACATTTCCAGAATAATACAGTGCCAAATTCAAGTCTGAGTTTAACAAGTTTTGACTCTCCGACAGTTGCATAAGTTTTCACGTTTGGATGAAGAGGACTATTTATCCCATTGGTATCATTCCGAAAGAATCGACCTGTTGCTCCTTCCACATCTTGTTTTTCCTCCACCAACACCAACTCCCCCCCCCCCCCCCCACCCCCGCCATCCCAATCACTACCTCTGTTAAATGACTTGATGTTTTGCTTTTGCTATTCTTGGATGCCCATTTCACGTGTTGATCACCTGTAGAATAACATCCTGTGGAGGAAATAAAAATGTCCTAAACTTCCTTTTTTCTTCACATTTCGTTCCACTTTAATTTTTAATGGGTCCAGAGTTACTTACTTTTATGTTGGTATATAATACTCCTGTAACAAATGCATTTCCCTTCAAGTCCAAATAAACCATTGTTTACATCTTTCATTACTCACCATCCTGGCACAGTGGATTGGTTTCAAAGCTCTTTAATCATGTTCAGGCCTTGACTATCTGAATTGGGTGCCCAACAACGATGTAGGGTAACATCTGCTAAAAGCATTATATTATTTAAACAATAAGATTTAGATTTAAGAACTACAGATGCTGAAAATCTGAAACAGAAACAGAAATTGTTGGACAAACAAAGCAGGTCTGGCAGCATCTGTGGAGAAAAAGCAGTTAATGTTCCGAGCCCAGTTAGGCTCCTTCGGAACTTCAAAGTTTTTTATCTCCTTGTTCTGTCTTGTAATTTCACTACATAATGTAATATTCCATTAATTATGTTGATATAATTAATGACAACACAACTAAACATTATGCACAGCCAGTGACTGGATATGATAAGCAATGAGAATACTTGGTTCTTGACTTGACCATTCAACTCCACATCGTTGAAAAGTGTTTGTTGTTTTTTTTTTTTTTTGTTTGTTTCTTGCATGTAATACTTTATATTTATGCATGTTGAATTTCATTTGCATTGTTCAGTCTGCTCATTTTTATGTAACTTCTGGCAGGCATACAAGTACCAGTTATTGAGTTGTTTGTTCAAGTGAATAAAATCTGTTGCACCACAGCTCCTCCTATTGTAAATTTCTGTACTGTGAATGGATAAAGCCTGTTACAAGTCATTGCTGACAAATGTAATATTATGTTCTTATTTAATATTCAAACAACTACTAATTGTAGCCTCTATGCTGTGGATCATTGTATCTGCTTTATGCAAACAATGTTTTTAATAAAGACTTTTATAAGATGTTTACAATCTCAAATGTATTTATACTCTTTAATTTAATGTGTTTTTTTTGGAGTTATTCCTCTTATGTGCTGTTTCTTTTGGCTCTACTAGTAAATGATTATATAAGTGGTGTTGGATTGGATTTGGTTATAGAAGCAATGATAATGCTATCAACCTTTTTTTAAAGTGCACTTCCAGTGCAGTTAAAAGTTAAATGTAGAACTTCAGAATTGCTGTCCTAGTGGTCATGCTACAGGTAGAATTCCTGCATGGCTTTATCTCAGGAATTATGACCATTTGAATCACATTGAAAGCACAAAGTGGCTGTACTTACCTGATTTATATGTATTTTAAACTCTCCATAAATATGTCAGGCCATGTTTGTTTCAGCCCTTCATAAGTTAACTTTTATCTATGCATTCCTTAGATTTTAAACTCATGGTGATTAGAAGATCTTTTTAAAACCCCATACTTTTTGTTATCTCAATCTAACGTTGCTTTCTGCATCAGTTATGACATTGCTTGGCATTTCCTGGTTCACTTTTTTTAATGTCTGTACATTAACAAAAGTAACTGATGTCTCTGGGCATTTATAAGGTCAGGATTTGTTGCAATTTTGATGAAACTGCTAGATGTCCCTAGCCCCTGTTGATTATATGATTATAGAAAACATACATAATTTACAGTATATCCTTGGAGATTGAATTCTGCACTTTTTACACTTTTTTTTTTTTTTTTGTAAGGTTTTCCATAAGCATCTTTCTTTTGAAGTGAATCCAATAGCTCAAACTATGAATGGCCTTCTTTGTCTTCATTTTCATCACACTTGACCTCTTACCAGTTATTGTTAAGTCCAAGACTGGTGAAGTGTACCATCACTTTAATACCGTACATCCACAGATCGTAACATAAACATCTATTTTCTAGCTACCAAGTTAAGCAATCAATTATTGTGCATCTCAGGACTTAACTAATAGGATCAATCAACTGGGGTTCTTAATAAATATGATTATTGGTTTATTATCAAAACAAAACTTAACCAATTATTCCTTTTATAAAAATTAATATATGCAGTCATGTAATACAGTTGTTAAATGCTTATCCCTCTAAATATTCTATGAAACGCATCTACTTGTGTGCATACACTTACTGTTCAAGAAAAGAGATAAACAATCTGCAGGGATTGGCTTTCTGAAAAGCGAAATACTATGGCCTAATGGATTATTTTTGGAAAATGTCACATTTGCTGTTCTGGCTGATGTGGTCAAATGACTAATCTCACATGGTTGGTTCTGAAGTCTTGCAGACATAGTTTGCACTCTAGAGTACAATCTGGAGATGTTTACTCAACCTTTCGTTCAAAGAGTGAAGTCAATCTCGCCCTGAGCAAGATGATTTTTTTTCCCCCTCGGACAAGAGAGATCAACTGGATAGGTTATTCTTGGTAGGCTTTCCTCCAACTAAACCAGGTAAAATGAGTACTTCTCCAAGCTGGTCACTTAAAAACAGCCTCAGCAGGGGTGAACATCAAAGCAAGCAGTTATCACCAGGCATGAGATTCCTAGGAAGCCCAGCAAATAAAAATGTCTCCATTGTCCTCAGTGAAGTTTTGATGACCTTCCTTTAAAAAAAAATCATTCTAAGTATTTCCATAAAACTTGAAATAACTCAATTTTCCACAATCCTTCCAAACATCAGTGCTCCATGCCGTCTTAAATATAAGAGT